CCACCAGCGCCCCACTTCCCACCCCATCCTGTATGTGGGAACAAGTATGTGGGTTGTTACTACAAAGGGGTGTGGCTAGATCTCCCCAGAGTGAGTGGTGTTTTAAGGCAGTGGTTGGAAGCCCTGTAGCCTTGAGGTGTCCTTGCTTTCAGAGCCGTTATCACCATCATCAAGACCAACTGGTGTAGCCAGCCAGTCCATCCTGTGAGGGAGGCCTGTGGGGTCCTGTTGCACCGTGAAGAGACCCTTTAGAATGCAGGAGGTGGTGTGGAGTGGCAGTGAAGAGCCCTGGCTTGGAATTGTGCTACTTACTGGCTGTGAGACCCCGGGCCAGCCATTTAGCATCCTTCAGCCATTTTTCTGTTCGCATAATGGATTCAATGTGTTAACTGTGGAGTGTTTCTAGAGCATTATCTCATATATGGTAAATGCACATTAAATAGTAGTTACTATGGCCCTAGCCGGTTTGGCTAGTGGATAGAGCGTCAGCCTGTGGCGCCCTAGCCTGTTTGGCTCAGTGGATGGGTCGTCAGCCTGTGGACCGAAGGGTCCCGGGTTCAATTCTGGTCAAGAACACGTACCTTGGTTGTAGGTTCCTCCCCCGCCCAGGCCCTGGTTGGGGCTCCTACGAGAGGCAACCAATTGATGTGTTTCTCTCACATCGATGCTTCTCTCTGTCCTTCCCTCTCTCTTCCACGCTCTCTAAAAATCAATGGGAAAATCCTCGGGTGAGGATTAAAACAAAATAGTTGCTATTAGTTTTTACAGATAATTGTGGCTATTTTGGTGTGTAGATCTGTAGAAGTAGAGAAGCACCTCTGAGGCCATTTACTTCCACGTCCTCTTTTGTAAATGAGGAAACTAGTCTATCGGGGGAGGGACTTGTCCTACCTAGGGGTCAAGCAGCTAGTTAATGGCAGGACCAGGCCTGGAACCCGTGACTAATGCTCCTGTGTTTGCTCACACTTGTACCAGGCCTGCAGCCCGTGAAGGATCCCTTGTGAGTGATGTTTCTGGGCCAGGTTTTCACTTTCCTAGCCGGGCACATCTGGGGGATGTGGCAAACGGGAGTCAGAGATTGACCTAGAAAGCTTTGTGTTCGGTGGCTGGGTGGGGAAGAGACAGTTACATAGTTTTGAGTTCTCCCCAGAGGCTCATTCTCCCAGACTTGACATCCTGTTACTTTTTAAGTCCACTTCTCCCCAGACTCAGATAGGGATTGCCTTCAGGGAGGGGTCTGCAGGAATTGGAGGGGCTTGCAGGAGTTGAGAGAGTAAAAAAAACTGTAACACACGTGACCAATGGTAGTAGTTGGTTCTGTGTGGTGGGAGCACGCAGTGTTTTGCCTGTTTATATTTTAATTGCTCAAGATAAAAAAGTCAGTCACATGCAGTTTAATTCGTTCCATGACGGAGCTCGTAACTCAAATTACTCGTATGTCAAATCAAAAAGTGAACGGAGTGAGACACGTGATGCTGGGCTGATGTTGTGGCGTTCACTGTGATGTTCGCTGCGCCAACTAGCGGTGGGGTATCTGAAGCTGGCTCGTAACCCGAATTTTAGCTCACAACTCAAAGCAAAAAATCGGCCGAGAGACGGCTCGTATCTCGAAAAACTCGTTAGTCGGGACACTCGTAAGTCAAGGCCCCACTGTAGTTTAAAGATAAGCTTCTGACAGTCAACACGCTTCAGGACTGTATTTGTTAGTGTTTGGAGGAGCATTAACCTTTTTTAGAATCTGATTCTAAAGATTCCTTTTCTGGGGGGAAAAAAAATAAACTGCTTTCAGTGTTTACAAAGGAGGAAGATCTCCATGAGCTGACAGGGAATGATTTCCTGCATATGAAAAGTGTAAGCCCTAGCTGGTTTGCTCAGTGGATAGAGCGTCTGCCTATGGGCTGAAGGGTCCCAGGTTCGATTCTGGTCAAGGGCATATGCACGTGTTGTGGGCTTGATCCCCAGTAGGGGGTGTGCAGGAGGCAGCTGATCAATGATTCTCTCTCATCATTAACGTTTCTATCTCCCTCTCCCTTCCTCTCAAATCAATAAAAATATATTTTAAAAATAGATAAAATGTTAAAAAGAAACAAAGGGTATCAGTAGTAGGCCACTCTGTGTAAGAAGGGGATATTTACGATATTCATGTATCAGCTCATTTGTGCAAAGGAAACACAGAAAAGATGGCCTGGGAACAAAAGAGATTGGTTACCTGCCTGGTGTGGTGGGAGAGGGGGGAATGGGATGCATTGGGAGTGACATTTCTCTGAGCACACCTTTTCTGATGGCTTTGACTCCCAGAGCCATGGTGATAGTCCACATACCCAAAAAGTAAGTAATTAAAAGTAATCAGGATGTGGGGGACCCAGACTGGAACACAGACTGCTACAAATGAGCACCAGGGCTGCATGGAAGGATGGGGGAAGACAATTGGAAAACAGTGTTTTGAGTGGGTACCATAGGCTAAAGACAAAAAAGAACTCTGTATAGTACTGTTCTCTTAGAACATTTGTTTCTCACAGGGGTATGGGTTAGCAGTTCTGAAACTATGTGTATACTAAAATTTAACAAATACCTAAATGCATTGTACATCATGAAAGCCAGGTTTCTCCCTGTCTGAGAGAGAAGTTACACCTAGGACAAGGAGGAAGGTTAGAAACAATTGTCAGTGTGAGAACGTGGCTTTTTAATAGATATGTGGATAGACAGAAATAACTACAGGTGTGTGTGTTTGTGTGTGCATGGATTAGTGTACATACATATGTTTTCTAGCTCTGTCTGCTGGGAAGCTCTATAAGCAATGATACCCCTGTAGCAACGAACCGACTTAGCACCCAGATCCTGGTTTTTCTCCAATAAAAGTAACCAGCACTCCTTGGAGAAAGGGCTGATTCCGGGGCAGGGGCAGGGGCAGGGGCAGGGAAAATACAAGAGCCTGGGACGTCTTATGTTGTTGGAAAATAAAGAAGTGCTCAAAAAAGATTGGAGGCATGTTGAAAGAACGCAGTAACCTACCCAAAGGAGCTCCCAGGGGCCAAATCTGGAGCTACAGGATGAATAATGAAAGTATTGGATTAGAGCTATAAAAGACATCTGTGCGCTAACACTGACATAGTAAGTGATTGAAGAAGTAAATAAGATAAGGGACAAGCACTACCTGACCCACTCTGAAACCCATCTTCAGCATCAGGGCTTGCCAAGCTTGGCCAATTCACTAAGAAAGGAAGATGTACTGCACATTGCTCCAGGGCCACGGTTCTCAACCTGTGGGTCGCGATCCCTTTGGGGCCCACTCTGAAACCCATCTTCAGCATCAGGGTTGGCAGGCTTGGCCGATTCACTAAGAAAGGAAGATGTACTGCACATTTCTCCAGGGCCGCAGTTCTCAACCTGTGGGTCGCGACCCCTTTGGGGGTCAAACGACCCTTTTACAGGGGTTGCCTAAGACCATCGGAAAACACATATATCTATGTATATAAAAGCCTAAGTGACCGTTATGACTGGTCGACTGAACGACTGGTCGACCGATCGCTATTACGTGTTCTGACCACCAGGGGGGCAGACGCTTAATGCAGGAGCTGCTCCCTGGTGGTCAGTGTGCTCCCACAGCCAACCTCCTGTGGTCCCTCCTGCTGGCCAGCCAACCTCCTGCAGTCCCTTCCCCAAGACTGGGCAAGACAGCCCCAATCAGCCCTGATCGCTGGCCAAGCCAAGGGACCCCACCCGTGCACAAATTCGTGTACCGGGCCTCTATTAATTACATATTGTTTTTGTGATTAATCACTATGCTTTAATTATGTTCAATTTGTAACAATGGAAATACATCCTGCATGTCAGATATTTACATTACGATTCATAACAATAGCAACATTACAGTTACGAAGTAGCAACAAAAATAATTTTATGGTTAGGGGTCACCACAACATGAGGAACTGTATTAAAGGGTCACGGCATTAGGAAGGTTGAGAACCACTGCTCTAGGGGAATGAAAAGGGGTGAATTGCCTCAGGGGTCTGTTGGTTTGGGATCACAGCCTGCGGATTGTGGTTGTTGCACATAGGAAGACCTCCGCGTGGATGGCCGTGGATGTGAGGACTACCGATGTGTCGAAGTGGAAACCGACGTGGTGTCCAACACCAGTGGGTCTGCCAGGGTCAAGCTGGTGAGTGCTGTGGCCACGGTCCACCCATGCCTCACAGGAGGAATGGGGAGGACCTACGGGACCAGCCACAGGCCCCTCCAGGCTTTTGCCACACAGATTTTAGGGGAAAATCAAAGACCCAAGCCTAACTCTGGGTGGAGGACTCTCTAGATCTGAAGGACTCCTCATCTTCTCAAAGGGTCACTTTCCAACCCCAGCACTGCTCTTAAGAGAGTCCCAGGGGTGTACGTCTGGGAGAGGAGGGAGGTGGTCGGGTGCCTGTCTGCCTGCCCAGAGTGAGGACCCTTCTCGCATATGTCTGCAGGGCCACACGGACATCCTGGTGGGAGTGAAAGCAGAGATGGGGACGCCGAAGCTGGAGAAGCCAAATGAAGGTTACTTGGAGTTCTTTGTTGACTGGTCAGTACTATGTAGATGTTTTTTTAAAGAAAAACAATTTGAAAGATGATGATTCAGGGGATGAACCTCTGTTTTCCTGTTAATCCACTTTTACTTGGTATTGAATTGTCATTCATCCAGCCAGCGGGTATTTACTGAGTTCCTCCTGGGTGCCAGGCCCTGGGATATTGGAAGGAGACGTTGGGTCAAGTTCTGCCCTTGCCCTGGCTACCTGGCCCTCGCTGGGCCTCGTTTTCCCTGTCTGAAAGGAGGGTGTCCGCCAGGCTGCCCAGCTCGTGGTGGTTATGAGAGTCACATGAGACGATGGATGATTTGAAAAATATCAAACGCAGACGATAAGGATCATTTGGTCTAAAATGCCCTGTTTCCCTCTCTGCTCTAGCTTTCCAGAAAACTTCTCATGACTTGCTTGGCAGAGCAAGGACTAGGGCCAGCCAACCAGCCTGACAGGCCAAGGTTGTGGCAGTGAGACAGGCAGTGGGTGCTGGGAAGAGCAGACTCCACAGTCTCTGCAGCTGTCAGCCAGCCGGATGCTGGCTTCTTCTCACCTGTGTGACCTCAGGCTGGTTACTCAGTTTCTTAATCTAAAAAATGGGGGTGATAATACTGTTGTGATGATAAGGAAATGAGATCATGAAGATAGAGCACCTAGGATGACGACTGGCTCCCAGTGGGCTTTCCCTAAGTGACATTTCTCTCCCTCTGGTGACCTCCTTCTTCTAGGGGTTGGGGCGTTTTATCGGGTTGCTGACCCAGTCTCGTCTTCTGTCTGTAACCTCACTTGTAGCGAGGTGATGACACAGGCCTTCTTGGGTGGGTATGGCTATTGGCTCATGTTAGATGCAGGTATATATTACTGACACTGTGTTGGGTCCCCAAGACGACCCCACATTTAGAGACTTGCTGGAAGGACTAGCATATAATTGTACTCACGACGAAGATTTATGACAGCAACAAAATGCAGCAACATGTGTGCCCAAGATGATTCTGAAAGAAAACCCATTAGAGACTCAGCACCCAAGATAGTTTTGGCTGCGGGTCATGTAAGCACCCGCTGCTTAACACACACCACAATACCAGGCTCCTGGGAAGCAAGCAAGTAAGTGTTCAGCGTGAGCCATATTTTTGCAGAAACAGTCTGCACCAGTGGACACAGATTCCTGGGAGCACTCTGAGAGCCAGAACGCTTTTCAGCGCAGGTGCTAACCCCCGTTTATATAGGAAGTTACAGTCTTCCCGTCTTCACGTCCAAACAGAAGTCCACCTCTCACAAACTGTACATGAGGGACATGAGTTCAGAGCGGGTGCGTGAGCTTCCTGGGGGTCACTTGCTTGGTTCTGTCCGACTCTGAGTCTTTGCTCTTTCTGCTTCGTGCAGCCTGTGGAGCCCGGCTTCGGAGGGGTGTTGTGCTTAGAAGTCCCAGAACTTCCATGGTGGCTCTGTGTCTGAAGGTGACAACATTTGCCTGCTGCTTTCGTCCCTTTCTTGTCCCAGCTTTAAAGGGAGGGTGGCTCTAGGTTGAGAGAAGCCTCTGAGCTGCCTTTCCCAAGACCTGGCTTCTAGGACGGAGCCTCTGTCCTGGCTGAGTGGCTGCCTGCTGGGCTCTTTCCCCCTTTGTAAATCTCAGGAGAACCCCAACAGGCCTTGAAGCTCCAGTTCCCAATCCCTGGATTTCTTTCTCAAGGTTGATAGTCTCAGGTGGCACACTGTAGATCTTTAAGTGGCTCCGTTAGTGCGATCAGCCCGGCACGTAGAAGTACCATGAGAGATTTGTAAAACCCCGTTTTCCTACGGAGAAGGGAGAGATTACCAAGCGCCACTGGCTGCACTTCTCTCAGAACCTATTTGGGTCTGCAGGGAGCAACTCTAAATTGCATAACAGACAAACCCCTTCATTCTGATCCAGAAAATAGTGCCCAGAAATAGGAGTGCTATCCTCCTCTTCCCCAGGCCCGGGGGTGGGGCCTCTGCCGGAGGCTCCAGGCTAAAACTGAATTCTTACCCAGCAGGAAGGGTCCTTTCCTGCCTGTCTGAGCCCAGTTTGACAGGTACTTACCAGCTGCTTCTAGGTTTTAATTATTAAGTTCCCAGAGCCAGAGGGGTCTCAGAAGACGAAGTGCTTTTCTGCTAACTCATTCCACTTCAGTTTGTGTACTTGGAATGCAGGCACCTGGGGTAGAGAACACTTCCTCCCACCGCTGCTCTGACCCTGACCTCAGTGGAGCAAGAGCTGGGTTGCAAGCTCTGCGCCAGGGAAGCCTGGCAGCACTCCCACTGGACCCGGAGCCGACCAGGCCTTCTCACTTCCTGCTCAGGTCTTTGTTAGATGTTGCCTGAAAATAGGCCGTTTTAAATAAGAACTTGGAGACTTTAGGAAAAGATGGTTTCCATCTAAAGCCTAGAGAAGGGTACGAATTGAATGAACTGTCACTCTGGTTACCACTAGGTGGCAATCCATCAAGCCGCTTCGCAGCTGTCCGACCACCCTGTTGATGGGTTTAGGGGCTGGTCTAGCCTCTCAGAGAGCGTTCACTGTTTAATGGTTGAGGAGCGCACATTTCATTCATAGGCATTTCAGTATGCCGGGCACTAGTCACCTGCCTTTGGGACTTACTTTTCAGGGTGATCACTTGTGCTTTACTAGTGTTGAACCACAAGTTTTGTGCCCTGAATTGGTGGGTGGACCCACTTGATCTATTCCTTACCTGCTTAGTGCTGCCCAAAGGGGGCACTGTTCTTGGCTGAAGGGCCAGGCAGAGCAGAACCTGCAGAAGCCATTCGAGGCTAGCTGTACTTTGAAAGTTGATGAAATAACTCTCCCAGGGACTTCAAACAAGGGTTTAGGTGACAAGCTCCGAATGTGCTGCTATGCCCAGCCCATTTACTGGGACGCGTCGGTAGGCACAGAGAGGAGCACGTGAGTCAGAGGCTCGGGACCTGCCTGGGGGTTAGATGACTGCGGAGGTGTCCTGAGTCAGCCTCGGCCCGGTACCCACTAAATCACCCGGCTGCCACGGGCCGGGCCGGGCCTGGCTGTCAGCCTCCACGTTCGCAGGCGAGGTCAGTTGTGAGTGAAGCAACAATGGGCCTAGTGTCTGAGTCCCATTGCAGGTAGCCGTGGCCTTGATCTCAGCCTCCCCCAGTTAAACCAGGAGAGAAGTGCTGAGCAGAGGAGCGGAGTAGAGGTGATGAGTCAGGAGGGGTGGAGAACTGGGAGGGGCAGCGTTCCCAAGATTTTTATTAGTTTATCCAGCTCAGTAAGTGATTTCCCAACAGCCCTGGAGGGCTGGTTCTTTATGAAGGATCTGAGTTGGTTTGGGTAACTATAAAAATAAAAGCAGTTGGTTTTATGCTAAAAAAAACACACCTTAGTGTATACTCTCCCCCTGAAAGATTGTATTATGATGCTTATGAGCAGGGGGCTAGGATTGCCAGCCTGTGTTGCTCTCTCTTTAAACTTTGTACTCGATAGAGAAGCTTTTTGTTTAGGACTCCCGTGGTCTACATTCCTTGACTCCAACATTTGTGCCCTAGTAGTAGTTCCCAAGACCAGAGTACCCATTCATTACTTGGAGGCAGAAGGCAGGCCGAATGGAGGCTAACCTGACCGATGTTAGGCCACAAGCCAGACGTGCCCAGTAGCACATTCAGGGAGAGTCCAGTGAAGCCCAGCAGACAAGGCCAGGCTGCCTGGGTTTGGAATCTTAGCTCCCCAGTCACTGGGTGTGTGACCTTGGCCAAGTTACACAACCTTTCTGTGACTCGGTTTTATTGTCTCTAAAATGGGGTCAATAACAGTGCCAACCTCTAGGCTTGTGAGAATTCAATGCGTTAATGCATCTAAAGTGCTCAGAATGCTGTCTAGCACGTGGTGAACATTCCAAAGAAGTTGTTAAGTTTCCTTCCTTGTAAAGCGAGAGCATCTGACCATCTGAGGCCACAACCCACCTGCAAGATTTTTGTTTCACTAATGGAGGCTTTTATTAAAGATGACAGGGCCTGAGAGTTGGCCGGTCTCCATCACTCCCTGTTAATTATACATGTGGCTCTTTGTTCAGATGCTTGTAGGCGTTTGGTTTGTGGCCCTCTGGAGATGGCCTCTAAGGCTTTGCCAGGTCTGCGTTTCTGACCTGCTCTATCAGAAAGGGTCCTTGTGCTGTGGGCGCCCCTAGTGGTGAGGAGGGACCCTCATTTTTCTGCTGCATCTCTTGTCTTCATCCTTTGTCAGAATATAGGGTCTCTGGCCCTTCTCATTGTACCCAAAGCACTACACCCCATCCCCACCCTGAGCAGTTTCCTTCTCCCCAGCCTCTTCCCCAGAATCACTCCATGGCCAGGGCACCATCCAGACGCAGGAGCTTCCTAAGGTCTCATCTGCCTCGAAGCTTTCTTTTCTGCCTGTCTACCAGCTATGCTGAAAGGATATGTTTAAGAAAAGGAAAAAAACCCACAAAACCAACACTTTAAAAATGGGAAAAATTTCACTTTAAATTAGCCCAGTGCCAAAAAAACACAATGGGGCATGGTTTTGTAGGTGGATTCATTTAGCCAGTTGGACCTGGAAGTTCTGTAAACCACCCCTCAGGGCCGTGGAGGAGTCACTGCCTCCTCCCTGGGTAACCAGTCACACCCAGGAGGATATGACCCACTGTAATCAGGGAAAGGAAAACATTTGAAGTGTAAGCATCTCGGACTGGATTTGTCTACACAGAGATCTATGTAGATGTGTTTAAACACTTAAAAGATGGGACTCAATATTGATTGCTTAGTGTTTGAATTAGGAACAGATTGTGTTTTGCTGGCTGTACAAAATAAACTTGGTCCCTGGTGACTTGATTATTTCGCCACAAATGAGCTTTTTTTCATGGCTCAGTGCCTGAGTCCAGCAGAGGCGGGAGAGACCAGCGAGGTTGCTATGGCAGCAGTGAAGTTTCTCAGGGATTTTAAATTGGGGTTCTGCTGGCTGGTAGTGGTCAGGGAGGACTGTCTGATTAGAGAGGCAGAGTTTTACACAACAGCACACACTGGTTATTTTAGGGTTCATTTTTATGCCTATATTAGAATGGAGTAGACAGAGGGGACATTACACACATACACACACGCGCACACACACACACACACGCACACACACATATGCACACGCACGCACCCACACCCTGCCTGCCTGTGGCCTGACCAACTTGTACTCATCTTTAGGTTTGAAGTCTCCTCTAACCCTCAACACTGATTGAGGCCCTCCCTGACCCCCACTCCTGCTGCTTGCTCCCTCCCCTATCAATGACACTGCCCCCAGACTTCATTGGAATTCCGACTTCGGGTGGCCTCCTTGCGCGGTCTCTGGGTCTGCAGTGCCTGGCATCTGGCTGGGTGCCTTCCAGTGGAGGTGTGGATGGATGCACAGACGGGCCGGGGAACACGGGTCGCACGAGATTTTGTGGAAACCAGACTGAAACAACTGCTTTCCTCTCCCCCCCCCCACCCTGGGCCCTACTTATTAAGTGAAGTGGTCACTGGAATGTTTACTTACCTCACTGGTGTATTAAGGGTTTGTTTTCATTACGCCAAAACCCTCTACAGTTTCCTGTTAAACACTTGTGTAGCGCTTAGGGTGGCAAATGTCAATGTGTTTTCATTCTTTGTTGATTTTTTTGAAGGGATAAACTTTATTAATCTAACTCAAACACTGGAGGCTAAAATTATAGCAACCTGTGTTGAGGTAATTGGGTGCAAAATTCAAGAGGCCTGAATGAGAAAGGTTTTTCTCTTTGAAAAATAGCAAATAAAGTAAAAGAGATAACCTAATATTTAATCTGCCAGCAGTCTGTCTGTCTTATTTCATCTCCTGCTGTTCAGTACAGTGATAACCTAGAGTTCATGACATAGCTCTGGCATACTATCTTACGAATCTTCTGAAAGATTCTAGCTCTAGCCGGTGTTACTCAATGGTTAGAGTGTCAGCCTGCGCACCGAAGAGTTGAGGGTTGGATTCTCGGTCAAGGGCACGTGCTTGGGTTATAGGTTCGATCCCTGGCCTGGTTAGGATGCATGTGGGAGGCAACCAATTGCTGTGTCTCTCTCATATCAATGTTTCTCTCCCCCCGCCCCCTTCCACTCTTTCTAAAAAACAATGGAAAAAAATATTCTCGGGTGAGGATTAACACACAAAACAAAACAGAAAAAAAATTCCAGGAAGGTTATTGTACTTGATGTTGTGGCTTTTGTTTGAGAGTACATCGTGCATGCTAAAGCTGTGAAAACTAGGGATGGTGTATATAATGTAACCCCTCTGTAAGCCAGCCTGTTTGATTCTCTGGGCTTCCGGCTTCCTCAGCCTGCCAGAGAAGGTATTTGTTATACTTTCAAGATAAGAGAGTTAATTATTACTGGCCGAGGTTCACTTTGCCATTGCTCTCTTGTTTCCCTTGGATAAAGATGTCTTCTGTTAGAAGTCAGGGGGAACTCCCATCACGCACACTGACCAATTCAGGGCCCGGTGCTGGTCTGGCTCAGTGTGTGTGTCTGTCCGGAGGCTGGAACAGTGGCAGATGCCATCCCTTCCTCATTTCAGGGACTCTCCATCATTCCGTAGGGCAGCTGGAGTAAAGCTTTGCCCCTTTGCTCTTTGCGTCTGAAAAGACTCACCAGCTCTTCTGTTCCCTTCTGCGCAGCTCAGCCAATGCTACCCCTGAATTTGAAGGTCGAGGAGGTGATGAACTTGGCACAGAGATTGCTAACACCCTCTACCGGATATTCAGCAACAAGAGCAGCGTGGACCTGAAGTCCCTCTGCATTAGTCCTCGGGAGCACTGCTGGGTTCTCTATGTGGACGTGCTGGTAAGGATCAGTTGCTGCGCCAGCTGGAGACCAGTTGGCCTACTCTCCTCCCAGCTTTTTCCCTCTCCAAGTGGGTACTGCCGACTCCCAGGGTGAGATTAGTTAGGGGAAGATGAGTCTCCTGCAATAGTTTCTTTAAAAAAATTAAATGTTACACGAATAGTAATATATGTAAAGTGCCTACACATGATGCCGTCCTACAGTAACGTTACAAGCAGTCATATCGTGGTAGCACCTAAAATTATCCAGAGATTGTCAGGGAAGAAAAAGTAAGAGATGCTCTCTAGATAGTGCCAGACAGAGTCGAGGGGCAGAATTTAGACCAGCGGCACATTCTGCATGGAATGATGTGCTGTTTACATGCATTTTCATTTAACCCTTACAAATGTTTTGCAAGTGGGCACGGCTCTTTTTCCCATGTACAAGTGAGAGAACTAAGACACAGAGAGGTAAAGTAGCCCAAGAGGTCTCAGCTTGAGGATAGTGGTACCAGGCCTCCAAGCCAGGAGTTGGGCCCAAAGGTGCCGGTGTCTGCTCTTGACCTCACTGAGCCATCTTCCCTTGGAAACAACCCGTAGCCCACCTGCTCTGAGGCCCTTGCTTCCCAGGTGCGGCCCCTAAGGCCCTGCCTCCTCCCTCCCCCCTCCTCCCTCTTCCCTCTTCCCTCCTCCATAGTCAGCTCCTGCAGGAGTCTTTCTAGCCACCCCTCATTTCCTTCCTGGTGTTCTCCCTCCAGATACTCTGCTGCCCAGTTTTTGGCAGTTGGCAGTAACTTCTCTGAGAGCTATAATTCATTTAATTTTGCCAGTTGCTTGTTCATGTACAGGCTCTTGATGGGTCTATTTTGTTTTTATTAAATGTCACGAACCTTGAGATGAGTGACCGCATCTTCCACGTAGGCTTGAGGACACAAGGCTAAGCCATTGACCAAACAGGTACTTGAATGAACCTGAGGGCACAGCAGATCCTGTGGATCTGATCTTGTGGGCGACCTTCTGAGGAGGAACAGCCTGCTGTCTCCAGTGCTGGCCCCGCGTGAAACAGGGCAGGGCTTTCTGGGCACTTGGCAATTTGATGACGGCTGGAACATGGCTGAAAGGTAATTAATAGTGGGCCTGCAGGTTCGCACTGTTCTGAATGCTGGTGCTAATGGGTAAAAGTAATAACAATTACAAGCCCATTTGCTTTTACTCGTTTCCAATAAGATGTGCCCCGTAGTGTGATTCCTCCCACCACACAGGTACTTGTGCAGGTCCTGGTTTTGAGGAGGCGGGAACCAGCCGCTGGCCGTCCTTACGGATAAGAGGCAGGCTTCAGAGCTGCCCAGGGAGGTGGACTCCGCAGTTGCACTCTGTGTCTATCCTCCACCTCCCAAACAGTCTTTATTTAAATGCATTTAGCTAACACCTACTGTGTGCTAGGCACACTTCTAAGGGCTTTACCAATACTAACTCACTCAGCCTTTATAGCAGCTCTGTGAGGTAGCTGGGATTTTTACCCTCTGAGGCACAGACAGGTTGCGTGCTGCCCATGGTCATGCAGCCACCAGGGGAGGACGAGTCAGATGCAGACGTTCTGACGCAGAGTCTTGCTACAGCTCTTTGCTGTGCAGCAGTCAGCTCTGAGCCAGAGTGGGGAAGAGTTAGTCCAGCTGCTAGACCAATGAGCTGCAGTCACTAGCCAGGTGGTCATATTTTAATAAGCAATAATTATACAGGAAAGGTGGGTCTGCAGGTGAAGTTTGCTCAGAAAGCTTCAGGTGGGAATCAGCGACTTGCAGTGGGCATGGTGGAAGGCCCAGGCACAGGGCCTGCCTGTCTCTCCCACATAATCTCCAGGCTCCTTCTGCCTGGCACCCCTTCTGCTGGACTCTGAGTAAAGGAATGAGCAAACCCGCAGGGTCCAGCCCTCAGGAGCTCACAGTTCAGAGCAGAGACAGACTGAATAAAACCATGGGACTACATGACTTTCCCTCCTACGCGGGACTTCCTCTCCATTCTTCCTTGCTGTAGCCCAGTTTATTCCATAAACTTGGGCCAAGGCTCTTTTAAATGAGGGCAGAAGGTTTCTTACCTTCCACTTAAGAATGGGCTCTAGCCCTAGCTGGTTTGGCTCAGTGGATAGAGCATTGGCCTATGGACTGAAAGGTCCCAGGTTCAATTCTGCTCAAGGGTTGCAGGCTTGATCCCCAGTAGGGGGCGTACAGGAGGCAGCCAATCAGTGGTTCTCATCATTGATGTTTCTATCTCTCTGTCCCTCTCCCTTCCTCTCTGAAATCAGTAAAAAATACATATTAAAAATAAAAGAATGTGCTGTAAGCTTTCCTGCTGCATGAGCTCACATAAGTGCAGCCAGCACTTTTGCTCATGGGCAAAAATGGTATGAGAGACCTTTGTTTTTATTATGTTAAATGTAAAGCATGAAGTGTTACCTGTTTGCGCATCAGGTAATGTTGATAATGACAGGCAGTAGGTTACCACACTACTGAATGTGAATCTGGTAGCAGGTGAGGCATCAGTGGTCATCATTTTTAACTTGTTTGGAAGCCGGACATACGTTAGCAACGATGAGAGCAGCATGTGTGGTGTGATTGGGAGCTCTTCAGGGCATCAGTGGTCACCATCCCTAGGAGCCAGTATCCTTTCATTGGGATAGTACTTAAGTAAGATGTGACACTTGCTTTTCTTCCCCACTCACCCTGTCTCCCTAGCTGCTGGAATGTGGTGGAAATTTGTTTGATGCCATCTCCATTGCTGTAAAGGCCGCTCTGTTCAATACAAGGTAAGTCTTCCGAGAAACATCCCCGGGGCCGGTGCAAAACCCAGGCGGATACTGAGGAAATTTCTACTGCAGCTCATAGGTGAAGATAACGAGGGGTTAGCATTAACAATGATATGTAATGTCAAGCTCCAGAAAACAGAGATTTCATCAATTAAAACTAAATCTGTGCATCTATTTCTGTATTTATTTTTTGTATTGTTATTTTCATAACTAAGCATGTACCATGTAGAAAAGCATTAGAAAACTACAGAGAAGCAAAAAAAGTTGAAACCAACTACTGGCCCAGCTGATGTCGCTCAGTGGTTGTACATCAACCCATGAACCAAGAGGATGCTGGTTCGATTCCCAGTCAGGGCCCATGCCTGGATTACAAGCTCGATCCCCAGTAGGGGGGCGTATAGGAGGCAGCCAATCATTGATGTTTTTCTCTCTCTCTTTCCTCTCTTACTCTCTCAAATCAATAAGAACACATTTTAAAAAAAGAAAGAAACCAACTCCAGATCAACTGTCCAAGTACTGTTACTGGCCAAAGCTCCATGTGGGCAGTTTGTCCGTTTGGTCTGCTATCCCCCCAGCACCATGAACAGTGCCGGACACAGCAGGTGTTCACGAGCCCTTCACTGGACACACGCATGTTCTAAAACAATAGTTCTCAACCTTCCTAATGCCACGACCCTTTAATACAGTTCCTCATGTCGTGGTGACCCCCAACCATAAAATTATTTGTGTTGCTACTTCATAACTGTAATTTTGCTACTATTATGAATCGTAATGTAAATATCTGATATGCAGGATGTATTTTCATTGTTCGCGACCCACAGGTTGAGAACCGCTGAAAGGTCTA